CTTAAGCTCAAACAGGCAACAGAGGCAGCTAGCACTATTCGACTACCGGGTCACGATTGCGTTATTAATTATGCTACAGACAGTGGTCAGGCGTGGAACTTATTGTGTCGTTTGAAGTAATTATCCGAGGTTAAGCTGTAACCAGTGTCTGGGCGTGCGCTGTCCTTCGTTACCAATCAGAAGCGAAAACGTGAGACAGCAAATTGGTGTGCTGCTCCTCTGCTACAGCTTGTGAAACCATAAGACGTTCCAGACGATTGCTGCCAATATGTGCAGCTAATATGTTCATATGGAGAAGTTTACGCAATTATTCCGGCAAACAAATTAAGAGCATATGTGGCAGCAATCTGCGACCTTGCCCCAGTACGCTTCTCCGAATGTTGCACTTTTAATGTTATTAAAGTATCAAATTGAAAGTTTCTTGCAATATGCGTATGCACTGCCACTGGAGCTTGACTAGATTGGCCTTCTTTGCTCCAGCTATTGCGTTCGCGGTTTTCCATTATTTCAGCACAATGCTTCGCAGGCCTTTGACGATTTACAATGGGCTAAAATACGAACCGCTTAAGACAGGCTGAGCAGGACGGGCGTCAGCTAGCCTAATCTGAGGCGACACGGACAGGCAGTCGGCGTCACAAAAGTTTCCTAATTGCCTCTGGCAGCAAAAATCGAGTGCCCAACTTCAAAGAGCTCAACCAAACTAAGCTCAACAAAATTCAGAAGGACGTGCAGTCAGCGTAGAAATTGTGCCAGCGCTTAGCTAATAGAGTCGAATATGCATTTGGCCCTACAGGAACAGTTCCTTTGACTACTGCCCACTCGACATGGGAGTCGATTTGATGAACAACGATAATTGTTTCTGTTTCATAGTTTTCTCTTTCGCTCGGCGGAGTGTCTAGCTAATTAATCCTTTTAATTTATAACGCCTTGCGCAATTAGATTGTTATAGCTAACTAGCATATCTTATATATTTATTTATTGTATCTAACGATACATATACATTGAAGTTGTTTACTTATAAAATCCACAGAGTATATTCAAGTAAGTCAGCTTAAGTATACATTAAGCTTTACTCAATCAGCACACTTAAAAATAGAATTTAATAATGGCGCTTCAATGCGTTGCCGAATCAACTCAAAAGCACAAAACTGTGATTTGTTTGACAGCGAAAATCGTATAACAAACCGATATTTGTGGCTGTTTGCTTTAAAAATGGGAACAATTCAATTTCGTCAGTTTTCGTAGTTTTCTGTTTAAACAAAAATATATATAATGTTCACAATTTTACCCTCGTCAAATGATAGTCAACAAAGCTGTCGCAGTCATGTCCAGATGATTATTAAAATTTCAACAATAATTGATCTCTTTGCGTTTAGGTATCGTCACGTTCCAGACGTATGCAAACGAAAAGTGAAACAATGATGTGCTTTGTTGCCATTTGCATATCTGGAGAGGTTCCCAAAAGCATACCGTTTATATGACTCAATGTGCATCAGACGAATAAAGGAGAGATCCGACAAAAGATTCAGACCATTTCTAACTGCTCCTAACTGCTCACTCGTTACTAAGTTCGAGAAGGACTGGTCAGAGCGTAGTAAGAAATTAGATAAATTATTTGAACAGCATTCAATTTGCGGCAAAGGCCGCCCTCGGACATGAAATGCAAACATGAAGCGTAAACAGGAATTTTTTTCGACTTTAACTATGCAAACAGTCAAATGCAAGGGTCCTGTCTGGTAGCCAGTTGGCAGGAAAAGAACGTCCAGAGCTTTGGCCTCAGCTCATATTTTATTCAACTGTACCGATGGACCACACAAGTGACTGCTTCGGCTGTGGCTATGGCTTTGGCTTCATCCGCGAACGACCCGACTAACGAACTTCTGCAGCTGAGCTCCTTTCATTTTTCTTTTGTTTTTTTCCCCAAGAATTTTTCACTATGCTGGTGAAAGTGAAAAAATGATGAGAATAAAGTGCAAGTTTACAGGCCGTCGTCTCTGACAGTCTCACTTTCATATTTTTTAATTTGCATATCCTTGGGCATGGGCAGACTAACTCAGCAAGTGGCTTATAGGGATAAACTAGGCTCTTAATTAATGTAAAAGCTTTTAAAAACTGTTCTAATTGTTAGACTTTAAGTAGTATTAACAAGCCAGTCTGCAAATTGTACCTTCACATAATGTTTATAGAGAATTACATACATACAGTGCAAAATAAAAATCTATTAAGGTATTAAATATATATGCAAATTATTTATTGACTTTACAGGTGCTTAAACTTTTGTGCTGACTAATGTGACTATGACTTTCGCTTACCTAATTAAAATCAATTTAATTTTAATCAAAGAACCTTAGACGCCCTCCCTGAAAAGTATGCTTTAAAATTGAAATTTATTTTCTTATGTATGTTAAAAGCTTATTACATTTTATACAATTTTTCACTTTTCAGCCTTTCCATGCCATAATATATATTCAAATTTCAATAAAAAGGTTTAATCCTAATCGCCTGGAGAAGGTCACACGATATAAGTATAATCGATTTAATGGTGCGGTCATGCGAAAAATGTAAAGAATCTTTGCAGTGCTTCCGTGTATGCCAATCCTGGACGTCTTTTTTTGTATTATCAAAAAGTTTGACAAAGGAGAGGAAATTATCATAAGTTTTGTTAGACTTGAGGGGGTGGTAGTCGCCTTAAAAGTATTTATGAAAACACATACACACGGCCATGCATCTGTTTGGGAGGAGTTTTATGAATTATCGATTTTCATTTAAGAACATATTAAAGTGCAGCGAGGGAGATTGGGAAACAATGACTACAACAACTACAACTATGCGGAGACTGTTGCTGTGTTGACGTAATGAAATTCCTTCAAGGTATTTTGTCTCTGTCTCCCTCTTTACGGTGCTCTGACAAGACATGTTCGTCAGTCAAGAGGATATGCCACGTCAGTGCGAAAATTTAGCAGTTGCCTGGGCGGAGTTGACATTTCTCGACGCACGGATGGACACAAAGAGACAAAAGTTAAATGCCAAAAAGGAATTAATGTAATTAACACAGCGTGTTGCAGGCAAATTTCCTGCTTGTCGGCGACGTAAACAGTGTGTGGACAAAAACACTTCTCATGATGACCCTTCTACACTTTGTGGTCAATCTGTGATATTTAAGGTAGCTGTTGACGTTGGATAACTAGTCAGAAGCTATGTTCCAGCAGGCAGACATGCAACACATTCGAGTTTTAGCGAATTGGGCACAAAAAGGTTTACGCCGCCTTTTGTCAAAATGTTAAGGATGACATCACGCAATGAAGCTTGCCTCCAACTTGTACAATCAGAGTACATGCAACCAAAAGTAATTACACTGCCATGCGGCACGCAGGTTGCTCGGAAACTTTTCTAAAGGGGAAAGTAAATTCAAACAGTTGCGAACCTGGCTAGTGGAGTATGGAGCAGAGAGCGTGGCCTGGCTTGTTTCTTGACTGCCACAAATTAATTAATAATGCTTGTAACATTATCATTAATTAGATTGCAGCAAGTACTTACGCATTATATGGGGATGAAAAGCTTACGGGCTGGCATGCTGCGTAGATTCTGGTAAAAAGCGTGCACTTCGAGTTGCAAGAGTTTGACAAAGAAAAGCTAGGTTTGACCTTTAAGAGAATCAAAAGAATTCCAATTTGCTGGAAAATACATTAAATCCTGCTATATGTGATTCATAAGAACTAAATCGTTTTTAAGCTGAGTCAATAAATCTAAAATTTCAAGCAAGAATAAACTTAAGTATTGAGACATGCTATGCTGCCCAAGCGATGCAGGGTTAAGTAGTTGTTACATTCCCAAAAGCACAAAAATAAAATGAGTTAAGCTCATGCATTCTATAAGCCTAAAATTTCAATTTACAACGTGGCCGAAACTAGTTACCAGATCAAAATTTAGACAAGCTGCCATACATTTTAAGACCTTACTTCAGCAAAGCATACGTGCGTAATAACATGGTATTTTTGTACACTCAGAAGCTTAAATATTTAATGCAACAACTTAAATTTAGGTTTAACTACTTCTTTGTGGGACATTTTTATAAAGTCTTAAGAAGAGAATATTTAAAGGTATTAAATATTAAAAATAAATAGGCATTGTTACACATAGTTGCTCTGTCAATTACGACTATTAGGTTAATATCTTATTCATTTTCTGTAAATGCTGTTGCATTTACCTAGTTGCTGCAAACCCGTTAAAAAATAAACCAGTAGATAAAGTTAAGCCATTTTCATTTGGTTTATATGCAGACTTTCCACAGCCGCCCTGCACTTGACAGCTTATGCCACCCAACACCAGTTTGCTGTTGTTGTTGTTGCTGTTGCTGTTGGCGCACAATAAATATTGATTACGATGGTGTTTGAAATTGTTGTAGGTTTATTTGGTTGAGATGGCTGGCTTAATGTTCCGTTGAAATACTAATTTATAAACCAATTAGCAGCCAGAGCTCATGGCACACCCATAAATATTCCCTGCCAACAAATTTAATCAGACAGTTCACTCGGCTGCCACTGTCTTTCTCTTCACACAGATCTTTCGGATTTCGCATAGCTCCTGGCCCTTTGGGCCGAGCCTTGTTGTCCTTACTCCTTGGAGGCGTACTTGCTACCAACTTAATTTCATTCACGCTTCGTTACATCGAATCCTTACAAAACTGAACTAATCGTGCCACACGCTTGCCCCTCACTAACGCCTTTGATTTGCCTGCTTAACATAGATTCGTATAGTTAGTATGATAATCTAGAACAAAGTAATCAACGAAACCAAATATTTTAGGGGATTTGGTTTTGTAAGCCAATGCAATGTTCATGAGCACTGCTGAAATTAAGGCAGATAATTATCTCAAGTACCTTTTTTACCTACCAAAATTATTAACAGCCCGGAATTAAAGTGTTCCGTTTTAGATTTTCCAGTTAATATTTTATTTATGAACTATAAATTGATTTGAAATGAAACATACAAAACGTACAATACATAATTGAAAAAAAAAACTATAGCCAAATTATATTCACAGTTTTAGTTAAAGTAGAAACTTTATTCTATGCTTTGTTTTCAATTAACATTTTCCATATTTATAATCGAGCATTTTTAATTTCATGATGCAGTACCTAAACGTACGATTGGAATTGCAAAATGCCATGGGGTCTTTAATTATACGCCTGTATGTATTTTTAATGAGTTAATTCTACGAATAGTTGTTATATTACCAATTACTCGAACTATTCGCCTAGCCGATAACTGCCTATTCATAATGCATTTCGCAGAGCTCATTTCCTAATTTTTAGCGAAACACGAATATTTTATATACATATATTTAATAACTTCTCTATTGTGAACATACATTAATTGTTATTTGGTAATTGGATAACTCCATTCATATCCTATTCTATTCACGAACCGGGAAGACTGCAACTCACAGCCGACCACAAAGAACCAAAGGAACAAAAACACACCGCATGTAAACAATTTGCTAGTTAGTAAAGTGTGTTTTTGTTTCCGTTCGGGTTCTTTTTGGATGCAACTGTACTTAAATTACGGCCAGCATTTCGATCTATTTGTTTGCTTAATTTGTGCTATTTTCCGGAATGTTTCTTTTTTATACATCTTATGTACACATTTGGCTAATTGGGGGTCGGGTGGCTATTTTAAAACGTGAATTGTAGTACTATCGTATTGTATTTGGGCTATATATATATATATCTATATTGTTCTGATTATTTACACGTTGATTGGATGCACTCCAACTTATATTAAAGAACACACTTATATGCTATTTAGGAAGGCACTTGACATTTGAAACAATAGAGTCAACTTTAACAAAGAGATGAGAACCGACAAGACCAACAAAAACTCAAAATGCTGTAGAACGCATTTTCACATTCACATATATAGCCTGTGCAGATCTGGATCTGCAACGGAAAAGATACAAGTCTATGACTATCTCTTAAAATGTTGTCTGCAGCAGCATTCCCACACACATTCACACAGGCCTAAACTGCAAAGTATATTCAGCTATGTAGGCATTGGTATGAGAAACCTACTCACCTTGGCACGCAGGAGCAATCCATTAACTCGCTGGCCAGACGCTTCCTATACCCCAGGCATAGCTATTCGGGGGCCGGATATTAATTACGTTCATCCATTTAAAGCGCATTAATCCAAAGTACATACCACTGAATTATGCACACACGCGAATCGCTCATACAACAAGTTGTACGCCTGATTCTGATGGCACCTCCTGCAACGTAACCTGTCCGCTATGATAGCCCTCCCAATAAAGCGTTTATGAGCCTCATCGCCCTAATCAACGCACACAAACACACACGCGCATAAGCTATGAACTCTAGGTCACTCTCTCTCCCTCTCCCTCTTCCTCGCTCTCTCTCATTCACATTTATAGGTGCAGACCATTATGAAGATTCCTTTTGGTAGGGAAATGGAAATATCGTGATATTTATGGGGGGTGTATGCGTACACGCACACATCTATAGAGTTATGTACATATATGAGGCTCGCATCTCTTCCCGAAGCTCGGCTCTGACAACCCATTAGTTTTCCCTTTGCCAACGACTTTGGGAATTTTGCTGCTTCGCATCCTTGATGTATGTGAGTGTTTGTTATTCTGAAGCCTGTTGTTGCTGTGTATTCATGGCATCTGTGTTTATATTTATGCGTGCGTTTACATTATTGATAACATTAAATGAGCCTCCCGCAATTTGTTTTCATTTGTCCGCTTAGATCGCATAATTTTATGGCGTAGAGAGTCGTGCCTGGCACTTGTTGTTCCCACTAATGTGTAATTCGTTCCGTTGCCATGAAAACGATTGGGTAATCAAACATTGAGAAAAAAGCAATTAACCCAGATACTATTAAAAAAGGGATGTAAATTAAAAAGGTTGTCGAAGTAAGTGAGCATATGTGAAATCAGGAGGTTATATCATTCACGCACGTGCAGAACTCTGCGCAGACCAACATTTCTATGCTTAGCCTACAAATTATTCTACCCTAACTTTTCTATGCGATTGCACCTTACTGTGAACTGACCTAGGACCTTGCAAGTGCGCGTCCGTTCCATTCATTAGTAATTTACAGTTACAGGAAGCTCGTCCATTTAAATACATTTATGTATACATATATTTTAAAAACAGACATCAGCCATTGTTGCCCAGACTCTGAGAGCCATCTACTCGTTACACACCTGTTGTTGTTTTTGTTCTTGCTGATTCCGATTCTGGCAGGAGGTCTCTGGGCTTAGTTCATTCCCCTGTAAATTTGTATTGTCGTTTATGCTAGAAGTGGCCAAGGGTACTGTTGACCCATTGTTGGCTTGTGGCTAGGGCCTAGCTGCCGGCACATGAGCAGCGTCTGAATGGGAGCCCGTGAGGGACTCTGCCTGAGTACCTGTGACATCCTGTCTGGTATAGCTATGGACGTTAGGGGTGGTCACGTTGATGGCTGTAGTATACACGTGAGGCTCACAGTCCCCCGTGCTTGGTCATCCGTAATAAAACTGCGAGCTCACCGGTAAACCAGTTGATAGAGTACGCGGAGCCGTGCCGTCATAGGACAGCTGAGGATGGAGCATAGCTGTGGTACCGGGCTTTGTGCGGCGCAATGTTGATGTGCCAGGGGCAGGCACATGACTTAGCGATGTCAATGCAAGAGGCGATGTAGTCGGCGGCTGTTGTGTCGGTGGGTGCGCCGGGGAGCCGCTAGCTAAAGAGGAGGGTGGCGTCGGTGTGTTGCTCGGTCTCTGCAGCACGCTCATGGCTTCGGCATTAATGATATAGCCACCGCGAATGGTGGGCGCCGTTGTGTACTGGTTCAGAGATGTAATGGGTAACATGGTGTCTGCAAAAACATGAATCGAAAATGTTGACGAAACGCACCTCATCAAGTCGAAATGACCGGCTGCCAGTTAAAGCTGATTCAGATACTTACTTAAGCCACTGCTGCCGGGCAAAGCTCCACTAGGATCGTTCCCGCCTATTACAATAGCCGGTGCCAAAATGCTCGCCATGGACCCCTGTGCAGCAGGTGCGCTGCCGGCGCTACTTGTAGCTATATAAGTGCTGGGCGATATGCCGATGAGGTCCGGCGACTGCCGTGAACCCATTAAGAGGGGGTTGGGAATCAAGCCGGAGGCAGTGCAAGGTCCGCCAACTGTCGCCAGCTGGCTAGGCGCTAGGCTGGTATACAAGCTGCTGGCAGGCGCGTAAGTGATGTAATTCTGCTGTGTCAGACGACAGATGACAGATGGCATTGGCTTCTGAGTGAGATGAGTTATGCTACCCACCTCGTTCTTTGATACGCTGGGCACTGGTATGGAAGTGGTAAGGTCAATGTCGGCGTCTATCTCAGAAATGGTGTCGTTAAAGCCGCTTGGGATGGTCGTCTCGTCGCCCAGGCCTCCAGCGGTGCCCCCTTTTGTAGATGAATTGGACTGCGTGTCGCTGGCCATACGCCGCTTCTGCAGCACGAGGCGCGTGGTCATAATCAGAATGGAGAAGAGGACACCGACCAATCCGACAATTAAGAGATATAAATAGAGACGCTGCTGGTCGTCTACGAAGAACAACATGGTTATGGAATGGAGTTAGGAAATCTCGTATATAAATATATCAAAGTCATTCGTTGAGCCGGGGATTTGCCTAGCTTAAGTCGAGACCCCATCTTGTTTTTAAATTGAATTTAAGTCAACTTTAAAGCTATTTGTGAATAAGATTTGAAATGCGAAAAATGTCTGCTTCGTCCTCTGTGACAGTGAGTCCGTGTTGGATTACGCCTACATTTCGAGACTGTTTTCCATAAGGCCACCTACTACCAAAGACCCCTGTGGACTGGCGCTGACTTGTGTTTGTCATTATGGCAAATGTAACCTAACGTTCAGGTCAACTTCGTAGAGACTTACCCTCCAGACTTAAGTCGGCGCTGTGTGTCATCACCGGATTGACGCCACTGCCATCCACATCTGAGTCCAGTGAGCCGTTTGTTACGGTGTGAATACCCTCTGGATTGGAGTTCGCAGCGAGACCGCCGCCGCTAGTTCCGTTGCCTGCAACTGTTTTGGTTGTGTTGCTGTATAGCTTGGGAATGGCCTCCGACTCTTTGTAGATGAGCTCATCGTCGTACAGGTCATTGATGTCGCCCTCAAAGTCCTCCATTTCGTCAGCCTCCACCTCTGACTCGTTGCTCTCCTTTAACACTTGCTTCGGCACTATGGAACAAAGACATAGAGCGCCCAAACGAGCAACATAAATCATGCGGCCAAGTCACCGGTAACGGAGGGTCGGACGCCAAGCACCAGGCATCAATCTTGCGCCATGACGCGCGATAGGATGCGATGTGATGGGACGCGATGCGACGCGGCAACAAAGGCGCGCTCTAAATCATTCTGAGTGGCAGGAGCAAACGCCCCTTGATTTTTCCTACGACCTACTTACCGCATGTGTAAACAACCTTCAAATACATTCGCGAGTTTGGCTGGCACGGGGTGCCAAAGGTATTCGCATCAGCGGCCAAGTTGCAGCGCCTTCGTCCATGGCAAATTTGCATCACAGTCTCCGTGGCGAACGAGGCAAGGCATGCTATTAAAGGCCAGAGATAAAACAGACTAGTTGTAGCAGAGTGCGAGGCAAGGATCGCTGCTTGATTGATGCAATCCACAGTTTAGCCACAGGATGGTCATCATCCCCAATACTTACTCTCCTCGCGGACGCCCTGCGGCTGTGGACACTGAATGCTCTCGTATTCCGTGCGCCCAAAGCTTGCACTGTAAACGGCAATCCGCGAGTACGGATTGCATTCCAGCTGTGCGACATCGTTGTGGCAGGCAACCTTGCTGCGAAACTCATCTGCAAAACCAAAGCCAAAAATGTCAACAATTTTCCACAATTTAAAGCACCTCCGTTCATATATAATAAACAACAAATAAAGGCGAAATTTCATTTAATCAAAAGGGATAAATTTTCCTCATTATCCAAAGAAATGCATTTTTCTATTTTGCATCTCCAAGAGTGACGAATCCGATTGGCACGATAATATGATGCTGATTAAGATAATCAATGATTCAGAACTTTGTAATTGGAAGCCAAGAGCTCAATCAGTTGATGCTCTGCCTGTCATTATGGTAACTCTGGCTTTGACAACAAATCTGAATGCCAAATATATGTATGTATATATTCGACAATGCGGCAGAGCTGCAATTTGAACCTCTCCAAGCTCCCGACTCCGGTTCCCAGGGCCATGTGCCGGGCGCTGCGCGGAAACTTAATTTTGTATCGTCGATGTTTTTTCAAGTTATACAAAGCACGTGCAAATGCTATTGCACTGGTACTGCCAACGAGCGATGCTGCTGTTGGCGGCAGTGCTACCGGTTCGCATTCGATACGCTTCCTTGCCCCTGGCAGCTGGCCACGCGTTGGGTGGCCCAAGCCCGCCAACTGCTGTTTAGTAATGCTAACGGACTAGTCGATGCCCGCCCGGTTGCCTCTGCTACCATTCCACCTGAGTGAATTTTTGGAACGCTCAACAACAGCTCGCTAAACTGGCTGTTTGGGTGGCTGGAATGGCAAGACTGGATAGCTGGATGTCTGGATGTCTGGGCCTTTGCCAATCCGTGTGCGCGTGCCTTTGCCTGTGTGTGTCAGTTTTAACAGTATTTGTTCGGCAAAATATCGACACTGTGTGCTCCAGGTCATGCCCTAGGACGAGGACCTTTTTGAAGCACACTTGTACAGCTGGCAGACCCAAACCAATCGAAAAGCCAACGTCCGGATGAAGCCGGCTCTCGTTCAACTCATTCGGTTGGACATTTATGTGTCGATTCCGGCAGTCGGGATTGTTCAGGTCAGTTTGTACTGCCGTTGTGCTTGTAGTGTACGGAATTTGTTAGCCATTTTACGTGTTCTATTGTACGCCCAATAAATCCAACCAAATTAAACAAAATTTGCGCTGCAGCTGCTGACTTACATGGGCGACATTTGTAGGCGACCTCGACGATTTTCCTGCGCTTGGGGCAGGGGTCGTTGCTGATTGCATTGGAGCTGGCCGTACTGCTGTGATAGCTGCTGGTGCCGGATGAATCGCCCACTCCGCTGGCGCCCAGCCCGTAAAACTGTGGGGATCCGTGAAACTTGCAATGCTTTTTCTTCTGGCAGGCCTCCACCACAGTCTGCAGCAAGGAGTACTGTAAGGTAGGAGAACAGAACGAAAAATCAGTTGCAATTTAGTTTTCCAATTTTATTTTTCTTTTTTCCCATACTTGTCGCATTGGTGTGCAAACAGAAGAAGCTGAAAAGTGAACAAGTTCAGGAACTGGGCGGAAATTGTAAACTTTTACAAATTGAAATAAAATATTTGCATTAAATATGTAATTGAAGTGTTTCCAGTTGGGTTTGAATTTATTTTTCCCTTACATATTACTTATGTTTTAGTTCGATATGATAGAACTTGGCAAGAGGATGTGTCTTTCGTCGTAAACAGAGCAATCAGCTTATCAGGAATATTGAGCTATCTTTGAAGCATTATTGAGGCTTGAGTGTCCTTTTAAATCTCATAATATATATTGAAAAGTATAAAAAAGTCCGCTCTTTAAAATGCTGATCCATTTGTTAGACCTATCATATGCATAAAACACGTTGTCCGCCATATGCGTGGCATGTATTCAATCAAGAGCCGCATTGTCTTTAACTATCTGCTTTTGATATCGTTCTACTTTTTCGTGTTTCAGACAACTGACGGACACGTCCAGTTCCAGGCCAGCACACAAATACGGCTAGCTGCGCATATAGCACAACGGCGAGGATATAAACTGTTTATTTTCAAGTTATTTTTCACTATCTTGTGTTGACAGTAGGGGCCGAGGCGAATGAAATGGATGATGAGGGCGACAGGACGGCGGGATGGCGGTACGGCAGGACGGACGGGGGCTAGTCAACTGACAGCAGGTTTAGATTTGCCTGGCAACGTCAACCATTGGACGAGTCCTCACAAAATTTAATAACAACGACAGCGACAGTGACAACAACAACCTGCAGAGCAGCAGCAGAGCACCAGAGAGCGAGAGGGAATTGTGGATAGGGGCAGAAACGGCTAGCGATGAACAACAAAAACAGTTCCTTGAACAATGGCGAGAAATGGAGACAAAAACGATGCGAGAAATTATATGCTGCGGTAGCCATTTTTAGCGCCATGTTGGCGCTGCTGAGCAGAAAGTTTTAGGTTTGCTGCCCGGCCTAATGATGCCCCATGGGACGTGAAGGCATCTTGGCCGGCACAGCGGGTAGGCCGACATGCCAGACAGCACATTGACTTTGCTTGACACAAAGGCAACTTTTGGCCTTCGTCAATGTTTTTGCGAGCATTTCTCAGCGGTTCGCATGTTGTTCATTTTGGCCCTACATGTAGCTCCGACTGTCAGCTTAAACGCACATTAAAACCGAAATGAAATGAAATGTGTTCAACTGTCTCGTATTGTTGTCTATGTTGTTAAATTTGCTTCAAATTTAAATTCATTTCATTCGCCGTCATCCGACATCTTTTGTTTGGGTTCAAAGGATGCCTTCAGATACCGGAAAAGGCAGCTAAATTGTTTAATGAATTGGAAGCGTTATTTGGCATGCGGACAAACGAATTTCCTTATCCCTTTTTAAATGCAACTGGAATTTAAAGTGACATTTTGTTAACTGCTCAACGTTAGCTCAAACAGACTTGTAACAATTTTGTACATCCCGCACAACTTCTTAGCAAATATTGCAAAAAGGGCCAAATTCAAAGAAATTGCTGGAAATACAATCTCAATGGATGTTCTGTTATAATATATTGCAGGTTGCACAACTCAAGGCTCAAGAATGAATGAATTTAAAACTGTTTTATGTTTCCTTAAATTCGTTTTGTGGTTTAGCACGCCCATCTATTCCCCGATCTCTTTTTTTTTTTTTTGTTATTCTCAAGTCAGGCTTTCCATGTTCACATACGCCTTTGTAAAACACCCTTAAAATGGTGTCTACTTACCTGAAGAGCATTTGGCCACATGCAGTTTTCAGAAGAGCTGTCGCTTTTTTGAGCATTGTCCGCTGAAGATTCGGTAATGGTTCCTCCTGGTCCACTGGTGCTAGTAGGAACTTCAACAGCAATGGCATATCCGCCGTTCACATAGCGGTTGGCGGGCACTTTTTGCGAGGTGGAGCCAAAAATGGAGCCCCGCAGCAAGTGTTTTGCTTTTCCGCGAATCTCGGGCTTTACAGTGCCAGAGATGGGACACAACTCCTCAATGCTGTAGCCATCTGTACAAGCAAAAGGAACATAAAGCACGAAATGACAGACGTGTTAAGAATAAATAGCCCGAGGATGGCCCTCCAGAGGCAGAGAAAGACAGAGAGAGAGAGAGAGAGTAGAATTGGGTGAGATCCCAACACTTACCTTTCGCCACAAACTTGTTGTACTGGGCAAATTCGATTGAAATGCTGGTGCCGCGCGGGCAAGCAATTACCACCTGATCCGTATCACAGGCCGCCTTCTGATATGTGCGCAGTGTGGCCGATAAAAGAGCTGTTGGTGCATGGAGATATTTCAGTTGTTTCAATTGCGAAATGTCCATTGGTATTCAGAAATATGCATAAAAAAAGAAGAATATAATTAAAATAATTGAATATGATAATAGTTATTCATAATTTAATTAATATATTTTATATGTGAAAGGAATGCCAACACTCATTTGTGCATACTCTGATAGGGTTAATAAATTTAATTAAACCTGCACGATATCAACTTAAATAAAATTCCTACGGAATAGCACAGCCGCATCTCTTGCTCCACTCTAGTCCTTGGAATTTATGATGTTATGCTACAGTTGCATGCTTTCCTAAAGTTGTGGCCAAGTCTTATATTTTTTAACAGACTAAATTGAATCAGGCAGCTTGTTGGCTTTCAGTATTTCTCGCTGTATTTAATAAGAATTCCACGGGGAGGCCAGATGAGACGATTTGACTAGAGTCCATGCGGTGAGCTCTCGCCTCAATCACCTGAGCTAACAAGAGTCGACGCAGCGAGGAAAAACACTGAAAAGCCCGCGCGCTGTTGTTTCCACAAAATGGTGGCAGCCAAACGCTGGCGAACGCCTTCAAATAGCTCAGCTCAGGCTGATTCCTAGGCATGGCTGGAGCGTGGCGTTAAAAATGCGTTTCCGCACTTCAAGCAAGGCGCCAAGTGCACATTTTCAGCGCGCCACAGTTTCGCCGCTTCCCCTTGGGAGGTGCATGCCAAATTATACAAAATTCTTGGTAAATATTTTCGCTGGTTCGCTTCTGTTGTTTATGCCTTTGCCTAAAGCTACAACTTACTTCTGGCTGCGGTGCTACTATATGTGTATTTATGATAATAAATATATAAATGAATTTTTATACTATATACGAACAATGGCCGGCATAGGCCATTTATATGGATGTGGCCTTTCAATTAGTTTGCTGCTATGAATCAATTTCCAACAATTTGCCAGAACGTTCAAAGGAAAAACTAATTGAAAAGGTCTATCTATTATCAGCTGAGCAATTTAAATACCAAAACAGTTGCCGCGCGGTTTATATAAGTATGGTTAAACAGGGGGAAGGGTTTGGTTGGGTCTCGGGCATAAAATATAATTTAGCCGTTACCGTTCATTTCTCGCTTGGCATTTTATCACTAATGAGTTTGGGGAGCTGGGCGTGCGAATTGGTTTTGTTTTTGATGACTGCCCATGGCAGGGGCGTGTCAGCCAGCACGAGAAGGATGCGGCTGCGGATGTGGATGAAAAAAGACACTGAGATTGAGGATATTGCAGCCCAATGCGGGTGACTACCAACTGCCGACTACCGACTGCCAACCACCGAATGGCGACTGATTTATATTGCAAGCCATAAATTATATTTAAATGGTGCGTTTTCGCTTCTGGCAACACGAGCTCCCAGCGTAGCTCGTAATTATTTCTACATGGTATATATAGTAAATATATATATATATGTATAATCACGGACTGACCGTTGACTGGCCCTTGGCCAAATGGCAGGGCACCGCCCAGTGACAATATATTTCAAGTCTATGGTTTGACCGCCCATTCGCCTATCGGGCGGATGCAAGTGGACCACATCTGTTGACCGGATAGCTACTTGTACCAACTGCCAACTCAAGATGGATTGCATCTTTTTCTCACAGTACGCGCAAGTTATCTACTTTGTTTTTTTTTAATATGCATACATGAATATTAAATTAAATAATTCTTAGGTTATTCGCATACATGTTTTTTTATTTCTAACGCTTTTCAAGCACGCGTCCTGCTGTTCATATCTCTGATATTGCACACTTGAGCCAGCTGGCGGCACATTAAATTAATTGTTATGACTTTACAGCTGGGGAAACGCTGGTCTAGTGGAAACTTCCAAATGGTTCCGCTAGTCCTTGACTCAATGTGTTGGACGCTGCCGGTCGGAAACGAAAGTCTCTGAACTTTTTATTGGTGCCATTTGACTTCGGCAATCGAATCACTTTGGTATGGAGCGAATCCAAATAAAAGTTCGCTTTGCGCTCGGCCATAAAATCCTGAATCTCCGCCTGCCTGCCTGCCTGTCTACACAATGCAGCATCGAAAAAGTTTACCTTTTAAAGTGAGAGTATATTCAGCGTGTTGCTTAAATTGAAAATACAATAAAAAAAAAGGGAGCAAAAGTCCCTTTGACCTTGCGGTCTGCCAAGGCACAGTCATCGTACATGTATATATCTACTATATAGTAACCTATATACTCCCGTCTCCATTTGCTGGCCAGTAGTTGAATGATGCCGCACTTTTGAGGCGGTTGTATGAAACTTTTTATTTGATTCGAAATTGAAAGCGCTCCAGACAGATGCCGGTAGCTGGCACTCTTAAAGGCCGACCGTTTTATGAGCCTGCCGGTGTTGGGGAGTGTAGTGATGGAAAACTGTCGGGCATGAAATTTGTTTTGAGCACCGACATTACTTTCCCAACTTCTTAAGTAAATATGTGTGTGTGTGTGTGTGCATGTGCGTGTGCGTATTGTATCCACATGTGCACCGCATCGTTTTGCAGACTTATGAATAATTTAAATATATGGGCTCCCGTCTCACTCCTGCCCACAAGCCCAAAAGTACAATTTTGCAAACTGAATGCTTGGTTGAAAGAAGATTACGATTGAATATTTATATAATGTATATTCTTATTTATGTGTCAGCACATTGAATAAAATCTATTCAGCAATGTCGCTCAAAGCAAATGCAGGTGCCAAGCAAAGGACATTACCTTTTGTCACTAATAAACTCGAACTCCAATGGGTTGTGGGCTTTAAAGGAAGCCTGACATGAGGGTTCTGAAATAAACCGGGTCTGGTTGCCAAATGTACTTAATCGACAAATTTAATATTGACATAATAAACTGGGTCGTCGACCGTTTAGCCTACATATGACATCAAGTGAGAAAATGTAAAAAATAAATACTTTTGCCCTTTCGTGACTAATGATGCCAAGCCCGAATTCTATTTTTTTGCCCAGGCACACACTGTACCCAAAAATATTCATAAAAGGCTAAAAAGAATTACGAGAGAGAGGGGTGATATTTTTGACACACATAAGCATTTTAGAACTGGGCTTAGTAATCAAATTCGCCAGAGGCTTAAGCAAATATTTTATGATGAACCCCTTTTAACTCAATGATCAGCTTATTTACTTCAGAGTCAAGTGTTGCTTCCCCTAATCGCTGAGCTCTTTTTCAGAGACAGATTACCCACTATGTCTTTTATGCTAGTAAATTTCAATGCAAATTTACGATGCAACGTAAGGGTCTGAAGTTGGCTTAACATACGAACGCATGTGTCTACTGCATATTACAGTAAATTCTAGCTTCCGAAGGAAGAGATACTTATATGATGTATGTATGCTCGCATGCAAGGACTCCATCGCAGAATATTGCAATCGACAATTTGTTTTACTTTTGACGACTCCCAAATCTCAGTGGAGCTCCTTGCGCCGGCAGCCGCTACGTTCTCTTAGCCTCAATTTAGCTGTCAGTACTGTTTGCTAGACGCTGTAGGAATCCCCTGGGCTCACACTGTCGAAGTCTAAGTCGCAGCTTTGGGACAACGAATTCTCGATTGAATGCTTTGGAAGCCAACGGGATTCAGTGTAGGGCACAAAAAAAAACAACAAGAAGAAGCAACTGTCATCGGGAGTTGCCGAGTCAATGGCCCAGAAGAAATTGATTTGTTTTGATTTATTCCCATGTACTTGGTAGCTCCAGCTCCAGCTCCAGCTCTGGCCCGGGCCAGAACTCGCACTCATCTGTCCGTGCTTGGCACTTGCAGCTTTGATGTTGCCGTTGTCCTTTTTGTTGTTTGTCTCTTTCTGATGCTCATGCAAAATTGTGTTGATTTCTTTATGGGGCTGCCAGTGGTTGTGTTCGTTCCACAGCGCCGCTGCTGGTAGCTACCATATTTTATTGTCCCATTTGACTTGCTTAATAAATGGGAATTCGCCAGTGTCGATACTATTGAACAAAACCCTGGGGCCGAATTGGCGTTGCGGCCTGCTTGTCCTGTGGTCCCAAACCAATAAAACTTGATATGTATCTGCTATGGCTGGCGCCCAGTCAGTTCTGTATGCTGTACAAATAAATCTAATTAAATGAAATTTAATATGGCTCATCCATATTTGGAAAGACCAAATGATATCGATTGTGAAACAGTTTCGGGCCATAAAAGGCTAAATGAGCCTAATAACCAAAACGAAAACAAGCTCTGAACCCTAATAACAACAATGACTGTGGAGAAAACTAGTCTCATTGCTGAAAGAAAACAGCCTAAATAAATAAAAGGATATTCATGTCCAGCGTTTGTGCTCTTGCTAGTACTAAATTTGACTCTCAAATGCAATTGTTGGCTGTAAAATATCATTGCGTCCATGTCTGAGGTATGATGATGCTTGTAAATTCGGAGCTCAGCGGAAATAAGTCATTCATAAAGTGAACGGAAAACAAAAGCAAGACAAAAGTGAAATGAATAAAAGTATATTGTTAAATGTAGACATAATATTTTCCCTTTTCGCTGACGTTGGCATTGTTTTCATCTCGGATTTTGTAGTGGACCCCGGTATAATCCAGAGGAAACAAAGGTTTATGACATTTTACGAGCTTTTTTAATACTTTGTGAAAACTTTGCACATTTCCATCCGTCCGCTGGCTATCCATCTTTAAGCTCAGCAGCTCGACGGAAACGAAAACAAAAATTTATGAACCTGTTTTGTCATATATGGACGGCTAACCGGCTAAAGGCCTGGCTGGACAGCTGGCTGCGACCCTGGACATGAAATCCAGAGGAATAAGCAAGTAATACATACATCCAGATATATGTATAAGTACATGTGCATGCCCATACATAAATACCTACATATATGCTTATTTAACTCGCTTTTCGCATTGTTGTCAACTCTGAAATGGCTGGAATACAACAGATTTCACTCACGTCACCAGCGGGGCGTGTGGTTTTTGGACGCACTGCGTCAAGTTATAAAGTTTCATGTTTTTGTTTTTGTTTTCTTTTTTGTGTCCCTCTACACATCAGCGACAAGTGATGGAACTTTGGGTGTGATGTTTCTGTGAAATTCTCCGGACAGACATTACTTTGCGTAATTGAGAGCATAAATATTATGAGCTCGCGCTGAGCGTTAGCTCTATCTGATGGGCAATGAAATATTTGCTCATGCGGCGCATTTGTAGGCACTTTAGCTGAAGCTGGGCACCGGAATAGAATTACCTTTGAAGAGTTGCTTCTAACACACAGAATTTTTAAATCTCAAGCCTTAAATATGCAAGACAGTCGAAATCTAGAGGATATACATGGTAGATGCTCGCGAGCATTTACATTCAGTTGGCATGTGCTTACGCAGTATGTAAATGAAAAGATTTAAGGACCTTAGGGAAATGACAGTTATATTTGTGGCAGAAGCCAGTTGGCAGGCAGGCAGGCAGGCAGGCAGGAGAGCTAAGTAAATGGGACAGGATATTGCGACATGTTATCTTTATCCCAGAGTTGTTTCGCATTTGTAAAATTTTATTAACATAATAAATGGAATATCATGCTGCGCTATTTGCTGCTCCAGCTCAACATTTTGCTCACGTCATCCTGAGCCAATTTACTTGTTGTATTCATAACAAGTCCTTAAATGGCGCAAGGATGCTTAATTAACATATGATTAGATTTGATTGGGTTTGACTTAACCAACTGTGGCTTACCCAAGGGATCAATACGAAATATTATTTCGCCTTCAGCGCGGGCCGCACTCAGTGCGCACAGAAAGGACAGCATTAAACACTTGGCCTGCGTGTAATCCATTATCCTGCGAGCTGAGCTGAAGCTCCAGTTGCCGCCGGCTGGCTTGGCTTTGGCTTTCGCCTTGGCTTTGGTTTTGGCTCCTATGCGAGGGGCGTTAACCGGCATTCACCATCGGCATTACAGGCGCTGCTGCCACTCGGCCAAACTGCACACGCACTTGCTGCCGCACCGCGAACGGAGAGTTGCACGAACGGAGCTTAGCATGGACTTTTCTTTTGGATTGTGTACCGATCGGCAGTTGCACAAGCTTCTATTATTGATTTATCTCAGTCCTTTCGAACGGATGCCAGTTGTATTCGATTTGCTGTGCCGTCGGCGTTTTCCGGTTAGCTGTCCCTTTCACTGGTTGGGGTTTCGTTCGGATGCGCTTTCCGTTTGATTTGTTAGCACTTTGTTTTCACATTTGTTGCTTGCGTTGCAGGAAGTGCGCGAATTTCACAATTTTTCTGTTGCGCCACAAAAAGAACGATTTTGCATTTATTATCAACTCGGTGCGAGTTGCCTACCAGCCCCAAAATGTCGATCAATAAAATGCACACACACACACACACACGCACACACACAACTCAGCTCGCCCCCTCGCTGGCCGTGTAGGTAATCAAATTGAATGACCAGAGCCTGAGAGCCAATCATCGCCCCGGACAACCATCGTTCGCAGCCTGGTAACGATCCTGCCTGGCCGTAATGTTTGGAATGCGCGCTGAATCGATGCAGTTGCCACTTCACCGATAACAACAATGCACTGTTTATATGACCGGTCCCACGCAACACTATGCAGCACATCAAGCCCATCAAAATGCGGCAATGTGCATGTGTGGGCGTCTCCGTGTCCTCGGGTGTGCCCTCTCATACATATGCAAATCGGAGACCCAAAAATAAACCGAAAATTAACAAACACGAAATTCACGATTTTCGCACTGCCGCAGGCGACGATGAATGCAATTTTTTCACATTTAAATTTCATTTGATTTCTTTGGAATTGCCAATGAAACAAAAGCCACATTGATTGGCCGCCACCACCCAGTGTCACGTTTCGTCGCACGTGGCACAGCATATGCCAATCGCAGGGACATTAACAGATCGCTTAAAGCCCGATTCAACGCTTGCTGCAATTACAAAGAACAATTGGTCAGCGGCCCAAAGCGTGCCTCAGTAATCCGATTGCTTAAATGCCCAACTAGCATATCATTTGCACAGGACGCAGGAAGCAGGATGCAGGACGCAGGGCGCAGAGCGCGGGGCGTGGCTGGGGTGGTGGGCGCTGCGAATCCATCATGCAGCACATTTGCCAACAATTAATTGTGATTCCGACGGCAGCGAATACGCAGCAGAACTTTTAATTAAAATTGTGTTTGACAGGCAAAGCGAAATTGCCGCCACGCTTAGATGAGGACCGGGGAAAAGGATAACATTTGCAACATACAACACGATTGTTCACATACGTACGTAGTTTGAACATATTTCACTTCATTTGGGCTCAACCAATGAAATGCTTAATAAATGTCTCATGTATGTCAAGTGCTTAACCCCCATGCCCCGCAACGCCTGCGGATAAGTATTTGCAATTCAGATTACCACTTACACACAGAGCGAGAGAGAGGGAGAGAGAAACTAATTTGATAAGCAAACAGCATTAAATGACGCTTGCTTTTCATTCAGCAACTGTATCAAGTGCACATTTAAGGATACGCGTCAAATACCAACTGTAAACTTAATCAATTTTCACAATTCTAAAGGGTTTCTAATGACAACACACACCCACACACCCACACACGCCCACATATGTGTGTGTTTATGTCATTCGTGCTCATTAGTGAATGACAGTTAGTTGACGGAATGACAGCCTGCCGGAGGATTCTAGCAATTATGCTCCCATCTTCCGATTGAAACTCGGGGGCGCCTTCAACTTGGCCAACTGACAACGGGCTGGCAGCTGTATTCGGGTAACGCAAATCAAAATCCGAGACTTGGGCATGGATGGGCAGCAACTGTTTTTGGCATTTGTTATATTCCGTTATTCAATTATCATATTTGGACAGTGCCCCGACAGTGTGGGCAGGTCGGTGGAGAGGAACTTGCTGCGCACTCGACATTTGATTAATGATGCGAGCCAAGCCAAAGTTTTTCTCCTCCACTTCAGAGTGTGCGTGCCAGGAAGTGCGCGCGTGTGTATGTGTGTGTGCGTGTGTGCGTAGTGTGGTGTGTTTGTGGGTGGTTGGGTGCCAAGATAAACTGCACATAATCACACTCGCATTACATGCACCACACACACACACACACACACACACACACATACACACGTACGTACGTACAGTTTGTGTTACAATTTTACCACTGTCATTTAGCACAATAGGAAATGAGGCCGAGATGGGCTTGTGAGCCTGTGGGCCGTGGCCCAGTGGCCCGTGTGGTCACAGAAATGGCTTTATTTCAGCTAAAAGTGGCGACAAAATTGAAATAAAGCGACGCAAAAATAAACGAAGCGGCAAACCGCCCACCACTCTCAAACACACACACACACACAGAAGTGGGAGCTTGGGACTGGGGCAGGCCACTTGGGAGTCGAGTTGCTAACCGGGCTGGGACCAAGCAGCACCGGCTTAACGTTCGCTAATCATGGCCAAGAGCGCAACCTGACAATTTCTTGTTAATTTCGCATATTTGTGGCGGCTTTTTCTAGTTGCACGTCACAGTCGGTGGGTTGGTGTGTTGGTGGGTGGGCTGCTCGTTGCTGGTTGGTGGTGCTGCCTGTGTGCATTTTAAGTGCTCCGCCTCGTTGGGTTTTAAGCATTCTTTTTGCCGTTGCGCTGCTTTTTTTTTTGGTTTTTTAATGCTCATTTAAATTTTTTCAGTTGGCCGCAAAAATGCGAAACACACGCGCACTCAAAGGAATAGCTCACATTTGGCCACGTTAAAAGCACGTGCAAATTTTGGCTCCGACCACGAGGATGCGCACGCCCCGCCTACCGCTGCTGCGGACCCCGTTACCGAGACGTAGCTGAAGACAAGTGCGGAATGTGCCAGCTCTGGCCCAGTCGCTGTTTGCAGGAATCACGCGCTTGGCACGTCCGTTGCGTTTGACTGTCCACGAAGAACTGACTGCCATTCGGCCACGTAGCCGCATCGGGATGCCCGAATCCGAGCGAGCCGCTTCGTTGGCATCCGGCTCGACCCGAACTGCTGCCACCGGGAAATACTCTCTTCGAGCCAGGTCGCACAACAGAGTCAGAGACAAGGCAGAGCATTCGAAGAGAGCGCTGCGCTGGACTATGACAATGACTACGGTCATGTTTAGTGGGGCTGACGAACTACGGATCTGGGTCAGTGTGCCCTTTTCTTCAATCCCCTCACCCTTCCGCCTCCAAAGAGCAGCAGCCCTAGGTACAACGTGTGGCAGTGCCAGGCGGCGCGCCGCCAAGAGTTTTTGGTCTGCGAGCCGCATTTAATCGAATGTAACGTTTACAGTCAACTTAACACATTGATTTAGCCTATCGTAGGTAAATTAGTGGCCAACTGCCAGCAGCCCCCACCCCTCGTCAGCCTATCTAAATCGTTCTGCAGCCCTGTGCACGTGTGTGTGTGCGTGTCACTGGATAAAGCTACGGTTGTGGCTCGGCTGTGCGTGCGGCTGGGTGATTATGGCTGCTGCTCAGATTGGCCTCATAATTCGCTTCCAAATCGTTTTTATCACTTATCCCACATATACGCAGACATATATATATATAAATATGTGTGTGTATGTGTGTGTACCTTTCGATTGGGCAAGGACACGTCAAGGCAAGACACAACCACTTGTTGCTGGCGCTTTCATGCGAAGGTGAGGTACAAATATGCACAATATGTGTGCTCATATGCGTACATAGACTTAAGATTGTGCATTTATAACAATTTGATGTCAAAGTATTATCCTTCCGTTGTGTTAATGTACATATACATACACATTTACATATACATATGCACTTGCGCCCGCAGGCTAAGCAGAGCTATCTAGGCATAGAAAGGGACCTTTAGGTGTAGAGACAGCTAATGATTTATTTATTTATTTATCAATATAACTCATAATCAAATGACATTCTTAATTACTTTTGCTTAAACGATTAAAGAGTTGTTATCGCTCGAATAGTCCATTAAGGTATTCAGCTTTTGATTTTAAACTCTTATGCTATCCATATTTCTGCATACATATTCTGCATACCAACACTTGTACTTGAGGGCTTCCTTTTGGAAAATGTATTTATTTATGGGGCTTTCGTATTTGGTTTTCCATCAGCTGCAGCAAGGTAAATAAGCGTCTGCATGGCAAGCAAGTAGGCCAAGCTGCCAATCCGTAAACATCAAGGTGTTTAAGTAATATAATAATTGTTATGAGTATATGTATGCATATGCATGGGAGTACGTATGTCAACACCAACTAATTTATTGGGCCAACAACCGTTGGCCAAATTAACAATCTGGCTACTGCGGCTGGGGGTGATAATGAAATATTTGATTTGTACTCTTGTGCAACGAGCTATTTCATTATTTAAATGCAGGACACACACACACACACACACACACACATGCACAGTATTAACACGATAAACAAATAGATAAAGTAAATATTACACAAATGGAATACTATAAACTAAAATCAATTCAACCAACTGCACAAAAGTTGCAGCAGCAAGTGCTTAAAGTAGTCTGAGGCTAGTTTTTCCCCCCCTTAACATGGAAATAATAATGAAAATTAAAATGAAAACTGAGCACTGCACTTGCATAAAGCGTGCACATTTTATAAAGCTTCGTCATGATAGATAGCTCACGCCGCAACGCAGGAGAGCGCGTTATATTCTTTGTTCGTGCTTTGCGTTTTGGCAGCTCTTTAGACAGTCATTTTTTGTCCCCTAGACAAATGCAACACCAGCATCAGCATCAGCATCAGCATCATATAAACAGGACAAGCACAACAATAAAGTCGCGGCTACTTCTCGCCGAGGAGAGCTCGAATTTTGATGCTTTGAGCTTGCTCAATAAATTAAAGAACTCACTTTTGGCCCAACAATTCCCACAATATGACCGCAATTTATGTTGAAAGGCAGCAGTGCTCATAACTCATACGAGATCTTCACCGAACCTCTTCGTCCTTTTGGGCGACTGACCTAGGATTCGGATCCCAAACTGATGCAAATAAATATCAACTCAGGCTATTCATGATTGATTTTAATTGCATGCGACATTCACTTCTTGTGCTTAGGTTAAGAATATTAAAAGAAATTTTTTAAAATATAAAAACTACTTGAATTAAGCATTCTGGTTACACATAAATGTGCTGAAAGAGCAACAAAACATTTATATTTAAATATATTCCGACTATGCTTCTCCTTTGAATTCAAGTAAGGCCTATTTACAATCTCTTATTGGAACTCAGACACATCCGTCTGCTGATCCAACACACATAATTGACTAGGCACAGGACTGCCTCGCACTGTTCCAGCTGCAACGTATCTGTTCAGCCATCGTATAGAAAGTTCTTGAAACTGTTTTTCTCAAATCCAGTCTATCTCTATCTTTGTAACGCTCTCTAGCTCTATCTCTATCCCTATCTCTATCTCTATCTCTATATCTACCTCTTTCTCGGTCTATATATCTATCTCTATCTATATTTCCATATCTATCCTTATTAATGTCTCTATATTTTCCGCTATCTCTATCCCTATTCCATTCTCTACATCGATTTCTATCTAATTCTCTTTTTCTATCTCCATCTCTATCTCCATCTCTATCTATATTTATATCTCTTTCTCCATCGCATTTCCCCTAAAATTGTGATATAACTATGACATTACTCCGCCGAAATATTGTTAATTTTCTACACGTGCATTCGCTGGCCAAAGTTGGCTGCTGCAAGGGGTT